ACTGTGGAAGAGAGCTTGCTGCCTGAGTGATGTATCTCAGGTGAAGCTGGAGGCCAGAGTCAGAGGAGGTGGCTGGAGAACTGGGAGAGTCACTGGCTGGTGATTTGTGCAGTGGTGCTGTTTGGAATGGTGAAGACGCAGGAGCTTTGAGAATATAATAGACACAATATTAGGCTCAGATACGTGAAGAGTAAGAGATATTTAAATAATTTGAGAATTACTTAAGGAGAGAGAAAATTATTTTACACCTTGGTAAGCTACTGTATTGACTGATCTTATGCTTACTTGTTACAAGCTTGGGAAGAGGAGTTTCAATTAAGAAAATGCCTCCATAAGATCCAGCTGTAGGCATGCCAGTAGGATTTATTTATTTATTTATTTATTTATTTATTTATTTATTTATTTAATTTTTTAAGACAGGGGTTCTATGTGTAGCCTTGTCTGTCCTGGGACTTGATCTGTAGATCAAGCTGGCCTTGAACCTTGAACTCATAGAGATTCACTTGCCTCTGCCTCCTTAGTGTGTGCCCCCACTGCCCAACAGGACATTTTCTTAATTAGTGATCATGGGGGAGGGCTCAACCCATTGTGTGTGGTGCCTTCCCTGAGCTGGAGGTCCTGGCTTCTATAAAAAAGCAGACTGAAGAAAAAAAAAAAAAAAAGCAGACTGAGCAAGTCATGAGAAGCACACCAGTAAGCAGAACCCCTCCATGCTTTGTCTGCATCAGCTCCTGCCTTCGGTTTCCTGCCCTGACTTCCCTCGGTGATGGAGTGTGCTCTAGGATTTGTAAGATGAAATAAACCCGTTTCTTCCCAAGTTGCTTTGGGTCCTGATGTTTTATCACAGCAATAGAAACCCCCTTAGTAAGACATCTAGAATAGTGAGTGGATTCCAAGTGACTCAGATTTCAGAGTGTACTTGGAAGATGGTCAAAATGGTGGAACTTTGCATGAGTCTACAAGCTGAATGGGCTAAGTAGGCCTTGTGATACAAAATGTGATTCACTCTTTGTGTATAGCAAATGCCCAGTAACATACACTGAAAACAAATCCTGTGGGCAATAAGAGTTGCCTTCATTTATGAGACGGACTGAACGCGTAATAAAAGCTAGGGAAGAAATACACAGAGTAATAATAAAAGGAAGGGCAAGCACACATTTTCCTTTTCTTCTTTCTGCAACCCAGGGAATGAACAGGGCCTTGTACATGCCAGGCAAGTGTCTTTCCACTGAGTTGTATTTCCAGCTCCCAAAATTGCATTCTCTAGGGAACCTTTGAGAAATAAAAGTAGGACAGCATAGAGGGAGGCAGGTGTGTGTGTGTGGGGGGAGATCCTCTTTCATAGCGAAGAACCTAGTGAGATGAGTAGATATTAGTGGTGTTATTAACAGATTCATTTATAATCCCTTTCAAAATAATCTGTCATGAGCATAGGTATACCATTTTCAGTATTGAAAGGAGAGCATTTAGTACCTCATTACACTAAAGCTTACAACTGAAAAGTTTTTCTAGGTATGCATAGCGAAATTTGTATTTTGACAGTGTCATAAGACACTGTGCTACTTGAATATTGTAGTAATAACAGAGTAATAACATTTTTTTTGAAGATTTACTCATTTTTTTATGTACATTAAGGTTTTGCCTGTATGTATGTCTGTATGAAGGTGCCAGATCCCCTGAACTGGAGTTACAGATAGTTGTGAGCTGCCATGTGGGTGCTGGGAATTGAACGTGCGTCATTTGGAAGAGCAGTTTCTTAACCACTAAACCATCTCTCTGCCCCGAACAAAAACTTCTTGATTCTGCAAGAGTGTAGTTATTTTGGGTTTTTATCTTCAAATGCTATTTTAACTTAAGTTTTTTGTTGATAAAATGAAGAAATATTTAGTGCATTATCGTGCATATTCAATGTACATTTGTGCTGGGCATAGTGGTGCAGGCCTTTAATTCCAGCACTCAGGAGGGAGAGGCAGTTGGATCTCTGTGAGTTCAAGTCCAGCCTGATCTCCAAATCGAGTTTCAGGACAGGCTGTTATAGAGAGAAACCCTGTGTTGAAAAACCAGAAGAAAAAAAAGCACATTTGTTCAATATTTATTTGATTAATTATTTGACTAATTGCTATCAGGCCCAGTTGGGGCCCCTGGGAACACGGAAGAACAGTCTGGCAGAGCTTTTGTTTTGGTGGGGAGATGAGAAAAGTAAGTCTGCTGTGAAAATCCATGCTGTGAAGGAGTATACAGTGTGGGGAGGAGGTCTTCGGGTGCTTTCATCAGGAATTGTTCTAAGGGAGCAGAAATGTGAGTGAAGAAGAAAATCTTGCAAAAATTATTTCAATCAGATGGAACAGCAGATGTGCAAACCGTGAGTCAGATCTAGCCTGGTGAGAACCAGTTTTGCGTGTTAGAGGAAACCCGAAGAAGCTGGCCTGACAAGAGCGTTGAGGACAGAGTGGAGACAACGAGAAATGAGGGTGAGGAGATCGGCAGGGAGCAGAGTATGTTGGACCTTATTGCCCACACGTTGTGATTTGAGTGTAAATAGAGGCCACGAGACAACTCTAGTCAGTGTTGTGACATGATCCAGACAGGAGTGCTGTACGCTGTGGTTCCAGCCATTGGGCTATTGGGTGGCAGAAAGAAGAGGGTCCTTGTAAGTACAAGGCTACCTTGCTATACAAAGAATTCTCAGACTTCCAGGGCTACATAGCTAGACCCTATCTTTTTTGTTGTTTGTAGACAGGATTTCTCTGTCCTGGAACTCCCTTTGTAGTCCAGGCTGGCCTCCAACTCACAAGATACACCTGCCTCTACCTCCCAAACGCTGGGTTTAAAGGCTTATGCCACCACTGCCCAACTGCTAGACCTAGCTTAAAATTAAAAAAAAAAAAAATTGACAAAATCTTTGCTAGGAATTAGGTAGGCTGTGGTTTCCAGTGTATTTTTAACACTAAATTTTTTATGGTGGTAGTGGTGCACACCTTTAATCTGAGCATTCAGGAGGTAGAAGCAGGCAGAGTTCAAGGTTAGCCTGGTCTACAGAGAGAGTTCCAGGACAGCCAGGACTGTTACACAGAGAAACCCTATCTTGAAAAACTACACATACAAAACAAAACAAAAACACACAAAATTTTAGTAATATTTAACATGTATTAACACTGTTCCTTCTATGTCACTTACCAGTTTTGACCTTAGCATGTTAGTTAAATGTCAGTGCCTTTTACTGGGATGAAAAGACTAAAGGAAGAACAGGCTTGTTTGAGGTGGAAGTAGGGAATGAGTAACTCGGTCAGTATTGGGCATCAAGTTTGAGATGCTTACGGGACATCTGCTGTGATATACCCGGTAGGTAATGACTCTGAAGCTGAGTTTGGAAAGTAGGATTGAAGGTCTTTGGGAATCTAGCACATGCCAGCTTTGAAGCTAAACTAATTGGAAATGTCTGTTTTGCCACCAGATATAATTGTGGACAGTTTTCCCGCCCTTCCTGCTTCATTTATCTCGTTATAAAATGAGGGTAATAGTGTCTACCTTACAGAGGGGTGAGGATCGAATGAGTTAATGGTAGCAAAGTACATAGAACATCCTGATACATTTACTCTTTGGGGGTTTATTTTATTCATGAATAGTGCTTTAAACCACCAAATTAGGAAAGTTAGAGCATTAGTATAGATAAAGAAAAAGACAAGGATTAACTTGGAAAAAGCAGATTTGAAAGGCAGAATAAGGACTAGAAATGACCACTCAGTTTGTCAAAGGTGCCAGTGGCTTGGAGACCTTGAGAAATGGTTTCAGTAGTGATGGGGATGAATTGGAGGTATTTAATTGGAAGTGTGGATGACACACTAGGGAAATTTTGCTACAAAGAAACATAAAGAGGGGCAACTCAGTAGGTAGAGTTGCTTGCTTTGCAGTCCTGGGCCCCTCAGTGGAGGGAGAGAACTCACTTCTGCAGGCTGCTCGCTGCCCTCCACATATGTTCTGTGTGTGTTGTTGCTCCCTCCCCACCCCCATAATGAGTAACAGTGGTAGATCTTTCAGAGGCACAGGGAAAGTGGAGGAGTAGCTAGAGGAAAATGAGTGTGTGGGGGTGTCAAAGATTGATGGGGTGGTGTGTATAACGACAGTCCAACAGTTTATGTGCTGAGGCTGACATAGTAAGGAGAGAGCAGTGAGATTGGACGTCTCAGCAGCCACAGGTGAGGTGAAGCGAAGGCGATAAATACATAAGCACAGCAGTGAGGACGTCGAAGAGACAGCTCATCTGTCGATGAAGCTAGAGAATGTTAGTGGAGCTAGAGGTAGATTAGTAGATTGCTTGTAGGAAAATGAGTTAATGTTCTCTGATGGCCTTTGTCTAATAAGGATGGTCAGGGTTGTCAGAATTAGCATTTGATGTTGGAGAGATGTGGTAGCGTTTTAAGAGCATTTTGGAAGATGGAAGAATTATTGACTAGAGAAGATCTAGCAGGCAGATGTCAAGGTTTGGAAGTTTACTTGACCTTTGATCTTTAGCTTAAGTGATTCCAGTTAGCTAAGGAGGGCGGTACAATCCTTCCCTGAAGAGGAGCTAGCTGTATCACGAACAGTAGAGGCAATACAGGTTCAGCTGTTTGGAACCTTTCTAGCCCTGTGACTGGAAGGATCACTTCTGGAACATTCTGCAGGTCCGTTGGCCAGTCATAGAATTAATAACTATGAATAGGCCGTAAGCCACAAATTCACAATTGCTCTTTTGCCTGTGTTCATTGAGTATTTCATACTTTATGATGCTGCTAAAAAGATGTGTGTTGCTATCTGAGTGATGTCTGTTTTGCAGAAATGATACCAATGTAAAGAAAGCAAAGTGCTTTCACTGAGGAACTCACAGTTATCCTGATAAACATGAAAGCTCACAAAATTTCACAGGACCTGTATTTTCCATTAACCTAGACTTACCAGTCATATTATTCCATACCTTTGTTTGAGTACAAAGAAATTAAACATCTATTTTTCTTTTTCAGGTGCTGGAGAATCTGGTAAAAGTACCATTGTGAAACAGATGAAGTAAGTTCACATAGGGCCTGCAAGACTGAATTTACCCTCTTCATAGAAACTTCATAATGTTTTCATTTTCCGTTCATGGTATTGACTTGCGGTTTTCTTCCTTTTGAAGAATCATTCATGAGGATGGCTATTCAGAGGACGAATGTAAACAGTACAAAGTGGTTGTCTACAGCAATACTATTCAGTCCATCATTGCGATCATAAGAGCCATGGGACGGTTAAAGATTGATTTTGGGGAAGCTGCCAGAGCAGTAAGTACTTCTCATTTCCTCTTCACTTGCCGCTCTTCTCTAGATGCAGTTAAGCCAAATTTGTGTCATGTTTTAGGGAACAAGAAGAAGATAAGATGGTGCGAATACTGTCTGACTCAATAGATAGTAAGTTACCACTGCAAGCAGAGCCCGGGAGTGGGATTCTGTCGATAGAGGTCTCGGTGGGCTCTACTCAGTCGCTTCTGTCACAGTACCATGGACCTTTATTTTATCGTAGTTGATGATAGTAACTATAGACTCTAGAAGACAGATTGTGTAGTTGTCTCCAATTTTCAAAGTGATTTCAGGTATTCAAAAAATGTTTTGTCACTATCTTACATTGAACTCTGGGTTATTACTTACTCAAATATAATTCTTTATTGCTTTACACACATTGGAATTTAAGTCAGTTAATGATAAGAATAATATATTTAGTAGACTTTGAGGGCAGTTTGTGAAGTAGGGTGTTTGATCCCAGTGGAGAAAGGACCAAAATAGAAGACCTTTTATATTGTCACCAGCTCAGTCTCAGGAGAGTGCTAGAGAAGTACAGGGTGCATCAGAGGATGTCAGCTGTGTTCAGTGACACAATACTCAAGTGCCATGGGAAAATAAGTGGAGGAGACTTGGGGGTTGTGCCTGGAAAGACAAAACTGTATGGTTCGAGTAGCTTAGGGACTCTTACCAGCTGCTCAGTTTATCAAGTGCAAGTTAATGTTTGGTCAGTGGGAAGTTGAAGGGGAACATATTAAAAGGGCCATTGTGGCTTCAATGTGTTGTTGAGTAGATATATCTTTGGGGTGAAATAAGGGAACAGGACCTAGATTAAGTGTCAATGGCGAAAAAGGAGGGGAAGGAAAATGTGAGTGACTTTCCTTGTCATATGACATAGTTTAGGGCCTCTTCTTCCCTCCTGGGCATTGTCCTAAGGGCCCGCAGTGCTCGGTGAGTAAGTGAACAGCATTCAGCCCAGAGGCTGCTTTCTGCCCCCTTTTCTTTCTCTTTGAATTTTATTTAAATTATGTGTCTATGTGTGTTTAGATATGGATATGTCCCTATGTGTGTGGATTCCCTTGGAGGCCAGAGGGGTTTGGTTTTCTGGAGCTGGAATTGCAGGCACTTGGAAGCTACTTATGTGAGTGCTGAGACTTAACTCCAGTTCTCTGCAAGAGCCATGCATGCTCTTGACTACTACGCCTGCGTTTTTGGTTCCTAGAGACAGTGTCTTACACACTAGTTCAGGCTAGATTTAAATTCACAGTGGTATTTCTGTGCAGGCTAGTCTTCTGTTCTTCTTAGGGAAATTGGAGAGTTCAAGTAAAGTTTTTATTCCTATCTTAGCCCTTTCCAGTCTTCGTCTCTTGTTGACTTTTCTTCTTTGCACTGGAGCTCTTCCGTGTTCTTTTCTCTCCTTCATGTTATCCAGCTACTTCTCTCTAGTACTTGTTGTATTCTGTAGCACTACCAGAACTGTGTTTATTGATTTTTCTTGTCTCGCTTGGCTTTTCTCCTGGTATTTATTCCTCTTAGTTTCTGGGACGGCTCCTTTAGCTCGTACTTCTTTCTATCACTTGTCCACCTCTGTTTCTCTTGACCGTTCCTCTCCCTTTCATTTACTTCCTTCATCAGATGTCATTAGGGCCTGGGGAGAGAGCTCAGTCAGTAAAATCCTTGCTCTCTGTGACGACCTGAGTTTGATCCCCAGAACTCACAAAAAGCAGGTGTTGTTGGTGTGAACTTAAAACCCTAGTGCCGGGGAGACCGAGATAGGAGGATCCTGGGGGCTCTGTGGCCAGGCAGCCTAGCCGAATCAGTGAGCCACAGGCCAAAGAGAGACGCTGCCTCAAACAAACAAGGCACATGCTCCTTAGCAACAGTACTGAGGTTGTCCTTTGCTCCACACACATGCTTGTGCTCACGCACAGACACAGCTGGTATCAGTAGTACTCCTGTGCCGCCAGGTAGACCTGACATTCATAGTCCCTCCCAGGACTCCTGAGTCATCTGTCTTTACAGCAACCGCTCAGCCTAATCCAAAGTCCTTTTAAAATAAGCTTTTAAAGTTTTAATCTTTTGTAGTTTCTCTTTTTCTCTCATAGCTAAGGCTTTATATTTGTATTTATCTTTTTTATTCCTCTAGTTTTTAATGGTTGTTAAGAGAGTGAAAAGAATAGAGCCGAGTATGGTACAGTTCTCTTTTGTATCTGTTTAAGGGCAGAACTACAAGGTTTGCTGTCAGGAGGGGCACTCTGTAAGCTTATGGAGAAGGCTTTATTTTCAGGAAGCTGGAGCAGGCTGGTGAGCAATTAAGTAGAAAGGGGAAAATGTTCCTTAAGGACATTCTTAGAGGCCAGGCAGTGGTGGCACACACTTTTATTCCCAGCTCTCGGGAGGCAGAAACAGGCAGATCTGTGAGTTCGAGGCCAGCCTGATCTACAGGACAGGCTCCAAAGCTACAGGGAAACCCTGTCTCAAACAAACAAACAAACAAACTAAAAAGAACATTCTCAGAATCAGAACAGAACAGTACCAGTATATAGTATTTTGAAGTTTCTAAAATTGGAATAACATGGTATTAAAAAAATACATGTGCTTAATTATTTGTATGCCTGCTTGAGTATAGCTCAAATTTCAGGACTTGTGTAGTTTTCAGATGTTACATAAAGCAGTATACCATGGAAAAAAATCTTACTTGTTATTTAGTATGTTTGACAGTTTGTATAATGCTTAAACATTTCTTAATCATTTGCTCTTTTATTTATCATCATCATCATTATTATTTTGAAAGAGAGAAGAGGGGTTGAGAAGATGATTGAGTGGCTAAGAGTGCTTGTTGTGTAAGCATAAGGAACTCCTAGTACCATTGTTACAGGGAATCATGCGTGGTCCTCCGTGTCTGCTGCCCCTGTACGAGGTGCAGAGACAGGCAGATCCTGGAAGCTTGTTGGCTGGCCAGTCTAGCTAAATGACGAACTTGAGGTTCCGTGAGAGACCATGTCTCACGGGAATAAGGCAGGGTGATAGAGACATCTGAGCCCTTCCTCTGGCTCTCCTGTATGCACATACGTGGGTGTGTGTGCACACACATATATACAGTACTCCCACACCACACGAAAAAAGAAACGAAAGCGAGAGAGGAAATGCAGATCGTGCATGAAAATTGTTACAGAGATCTGCAGTATTGCCCGGTGAATATCGGACAGAATCTGGATGTAGAGTTTGGCAGAGTCAGTTTAAGTGCAGTGTGGTGATTTTGTGGGTGATTAGGTAGATGTACAAATTGTCAGTGTTACTGCATCTGTGTTCCACAGTGCTTTTTGCTTGCTAGTTTTTGTTTTCGTTGATATAAACATCCCAGGTGATAGTGGCGCACACCTTTAATCCCAGCGCTCAGGAGCTAGAGGCAGGCAGATCTCTGAGTTCAAGGCCAGCCTCGTCTATAAAGTGAGTTCCACAACAGAGCTGTTACACAGAGAAACTGTCTCAAAAAACAAAACAAACAAATAAAAGACATGCATAATCTATTCTCCCTTTACTTTCTGTTTATGTATTATGTGATTAAAAAATAACTTCATCTTTATAGTTACTTGGAATTTTTAAGGTTGTAAATACTAGATTTATATAGAGAAATCTTTGAGATCTGGGTTCAGTTTGGTTTTTGTTTTGGAACAGGGATTCTCTGTGTAACCCTGGCTGTCCTGTCTCAGTCTATACACATTGAATTTAGAGATCCACTTGCCTCTGCCTCCCTGAGTATTAGGATTAGAGACGTGCGCCACCACTGTCCTGCTGTGTTCAATTTTACATGTGTATAGAAATGGGTAAAATAAATTAAACCATCAAAATTCTCATATCACCTTTTTTAAGGCTTACAAACTAATAAAATTCCTGTCTGAAGGTCAGGACATTATGATCGTCTTTCTCTGCTGCCATCTTTTCTCCTGCTGGAGAATGTTGGTGGTGTTCCCTAGATTTCCTAACATTTTCCTTGAGGGCTTGATTCCTGTTACTGGGCCTGAATCATCTCCTTCCTGTCTGCTCTCTGCAGTGAAGGGGAAGGAGCAGGCAACCTTTGTCGTAGTCCCTGAGTCATGTTCAGACTCCACTTCTTAATGCGCACATCTTTTTGTTTCTATGTAGTGGCAGGCACATGCTCTACCACTGAGCTATATCCCGCAGGTCTTGGGAACATATACACCTGTGCGTATATGTGTGGGCATAGAGTGTGGGAGGCTGGAGGGTGATTGCAGGTGTTTTCTTCTACCATTTTCTACCTTATGTTTGGAGACAGTGTCTCTCTAGATGGGGAGCATGCCATTTTGGCCAGAATGGTAGGCCAGTGACCTCCAGGGATCCTTCTTTCTGTGCTTCCCAGCACTGAGGTTAGAGGATGTAGCTCCCTTGTGCTGTGGCTTCCAGCTGTTACATGAATCTGACCTCAGTCCTCATGCTTGCATAGCATGTACTTGGTCACTGAGCTGTGCTCCCAGTCCTCATTCAGGGCTTACTTTAACAGCATGGAGATCTATTGCATTGTCTTTATGCTGTGTCTCACAGACCAGTATTCCCTACTCCCACGAGAGAGGATTGGGAGTCCATCAGAAGGATGGTGGTATGACATCTAACATATGTGTATATGTGCATGAGCATGTGTGAAGTGACACTCGTCTAGTCTTAAGGAAGTGGGAACTCATCTGCCCTCTCTTAATTGTTTTCCTAGGATGATGCCAGACAGTTATTTGTCTTAGCTGGCAGTGCTGAAGAAGGAGTCATGACTTCAGAACTCGCAGGCGTGATTAAACGGCTATGGCGAGATGGTGGGGTGCAGGCTTGTTTCAGCAGATCCAGAGAATATCAGCTCAATGATTCTGCCTCATAGTAAGTAAATTTTCCCCCTTGAAACTGTAATAGAAAATGATTTGGTGAGTCTAGAGAAAGTTCAGTACTTATCTTAAGGAAATATTTAAGTATGAGAAACGTCCAGAAGTCTATAGAATCCTTTGTTACAGCGCTCTCACTTTAAGACTCTCTGTGGTGCATTTACAGCAGGCAGGTGAGGCTGAGACGTCTAGTAGATCCCTATGTATAGGACAGGCACTGACGGCCAGCTGCAGGGGAAGCTAAAATCGGATATGTCTTCTCTCTCACACGCGCGCACACCCTGGTTTGCTATTGTATTTGACACAGAATCTCACTGTGTAGCTCTGCTGGCCTTGAACACACAGAAATCCACCTGCCTCTGCCCACCATGCTAGGATGAGAGGTGTGCGGCCCCACATCTGGTGTGTCAGCCCTTTTTACACTTTCTCTATTGTACTACGAATCTTTCTGGTAGTAGTGATTGCCACTTAATTTTGTGTGGGGGTGGGTACTAGGGATTGAACTAAAGTCTCCTGCATGTTAGCGCATGCTCTTCCAGTGAGCTACATCCTCAACCCTCTTTTTAGTTTTTATTTTGAGACACAATCTCACTCATGTTGCCAGTGAACTCATTGTATAGCCCAGGCAGGCCTGAGCTTGTGATCCCTCTGCTTCAGCCTTCTAAATGCTGAGATTACAAGCCTGCGCCACAGAACCCAGCACCATTCACACCTTGTGCCAGACTATGCTAGTAGACTTCTGTAGAATGAGAATATTGTGTCAGAGAATAGAGGTGAATCATTTCTTCATCAAGGAAGTTCTCTTGAGTATTAGTTTTAAAGAATTGGTAACTACTACTGCTATTTTACTATTACATGGGATCCCATTTTGGCCCCTACATGTTTATTTTTAAGGCCTGTATTCATGGTGTATTTTAAAAATGTGGTTTGTGTGTGTGTGTGTGTGTGTTGGGGGGCTCGTGAGTACTTGTCATCTGTAGCCCTCTCTGAGCTAGGTAGTGCACTTTTGATTATTAAGGTATTTTCTCTAGTATTATATTTCCCCATCCTCATTCTGTCACAAATTGTTACGAGCAATTAAATGGTATTTATAAAGCTTCCTTACTCTTATAGTGGAAATGGTTTGGCATACAGTAAAAGGATTTTTGTCCACTTTTTAAAAATATAGGATTGTTTTTATGTGCTAGTTTAGGTAGTTCAGTGGTCATCAAAGGTAGATTTTTAATTGCTTCTTCTGTCATATAGTGGGTAAGCTGTGACTCCCAGTTACGTGTTGGGTATAGAGTTATCTCCTGCCAAAGTTGTTCATCTGAGCTTGATTTGGATCTGGTTTGTGGAAGAACTGGGTGACACACTTAGAGTAGTGCCGCCTGCTCTTGTACTTCTGTCTGGAGTCAACGAAGATTTAGCTTTTTGTCGCCTCTCTACTCTTGCCCCTTTTTTGAAAGAGGATCTTGTTACATAGCCCAGGCTGGCCTGAAACTCCTGTATATATGTATATTTTCCTGATTGCTCTCAAACTTGGAGCCTCTTGCCTCTGCCAAGTGCTGGTTTGACAGGCATATACTGGTGAGACACCGAGTGTAGTTCTTCTAATTTTTGTAATTCAAATGTCATTCCCTAATGAGCTCTCAAATAGTTATGTATGCAGCCGACATAAATTTAAGTATCCAAGAACGTGTGTTTTAATTTTTTTGTGTTTTATTTTCATGGGGTCTTACTATGTAGCCCAAGCTTTCCTAGAACTCTGGAGTCCGGGCTTACAGGTCTGTACCACCTGTAGGTTTGGTTTTTTCTGTATAAATACATAACTCATTTCATATTAGATTTCAGGAATTTTTCTTTAGCAGGAACAAAATTGCCATGGTTTTAAAATCTGCCTTCACCACATATTTAAAGCCATTTTTGTTACTTTGTGCAGAACCTATTAATTTCCCCCTGCTAGATTTGCTTTTCCCTCTAATTCTATTACACCGAAGAGATAATATTCTTCTGTCCCATCAGTGAGTTTTAGGGTCTACTTTTTTGGTTTGTTGGTACTTAGGATCGAACCTTGGACCTTACACATCTAGTACCTAGCTAGTCTCAGGATCTACTTTTTGCTGAGTAGATAGTTTAGTCTGTTGACCTGTTGTGTCCATGATTGGCTTTACCAAGTAAAAACCAATGTGTATTTCATCTAGTTACCTAAATGATTTGGATAGAATATCCCAGACCAACTACATTCCAACTCAACAAGATGTTCTTCGGACAAGAGTGAAGACTACAGGCATTGTGGAGACACACTTCACCTTCAAGGAGCTGTACTTCAAGTAAGTTAAAGCCTTTCCCTGCCTGTGCGTGGCACAGATTAGCCAACATGGACTTGTTTTGGGTTTTGAAACAAGGTCTCACTATGTAGAACAGGTTGGCCTCAAACTTGCATCCTCTGCTGCTAACTGCCGAGTGCTCAGGCATGCACCACCACACCTGGCTTATTAGTCCCCCTTAGTTAACTTCTCTGTAGGGGTGTAAAGTTTTGTAAGCAGTGGTCCTTGGTTTAGAAACTAAATATATTTATTGGCCATTAGCTTAAGGTTGCATCTGATTGAAGCCCACATACTTTTTTTCCCACATATTTATTTTTTTCTCCAAGTAACATCAGTATTTATGCCCATTTAGAGGAAATTGAATGTAAAACTAATTAACAGTTTACCTACCATTAGAATTAATAATGTAATTGCCAATTTGTGTTAATTCACATTTATTTTCAAGACTTTTTTTTAGTTGCCAAATAGGTATTGAATGTTGTTAGGATTGCAACAGTGCTGAGTAGTTAGAAAATAACTTTCATAGATGGCTTTGTTCTGACATTGTGATACTAAAATAGAAATATTTTCTTAGCAGCATTCTCTCAGTGGCCCCTTCCCGCTAAGCTTAATGGGGTGGAGCTAAACTTGGCTTTTGTATTGATGTATGTAGTGCAAAGTAGGCCTGGGAATAGAGGCGTTTTATGGTGGTGATGACACAAACAGTAATTGTTTTAGAGGACATTCTAGTGCTTTAAAAGAATTTCCTCCTAACACCAGTCATTCTAAGAAAAAGCCTCCACTTCTCTTTTTGTTAATGATCTTTTAAAAATGCTAAAACTGCTGCTGGTTCCTTTTTTTCTGTTCGTGACCTTTGAGTTGGAAGCAACCTTTCCCCCTCCAACTCCAGGTGTGGTAAGGTTTTGAGAGGTTACTTGGTTGTGACTGTGTGAGTGTGGAAGTCACTGCTACTGCACACAAAGGGAGCGCTGCCTCAGATCCTCAAGTGAAGAGTCAGGGCTTCCAAGTCCACACAGGACTTAAGCACCAGTACCAATTGAGGTATTGGAATTCTTGGGGTTGGCTGGGTTTGAGACAGGATTTCTCTGTGTAGCCTTGGCTGTCCTGTAACTCACTCTGTAGTCCAGGCTGGCCTAGAACTGAGAGACCCACTGGCTTCTGCTTCCTGAGTTCTGGGATTAAAGGTTAAAGTGTGCACCTCTACCCAGCGCAAGGTGTTGAAGTCTTTTTATTTGTTTGAGACTTAGTCTCTCTATGTAGCCTTGACTGTCCTATAACTCACTCACTCTGTAGACCAGGCTGGCCACAACTCAGAGATCTGCCTGCCTCTGCCTGCCTCCTAAGTACTAGGATTAAAAGCGTGCACCACTACCTGGTAAGGTATTGGAATCTTAGCACACTAACTTGGATTTGAAACCTAGTGAAGGATTTTAGTGTGAACTGGCTGCTTATCTTAAGTACTGATGAACTTAATAACAAAATCAGCAGAAACTGTATGGATTACCCTTGAAGCCATAGGAATGAGATGTTTCTTTGTGTACTGTAAAATTAATAATTCAATTCTAATTAAATACCAAAACCAATATTTAGTGTGGGAAACATTTTTGGTCATTCATAGATTGGTCTTTAGCTAGGTAACCTTGTCTTTCTATGTAAGAGTCAGTAGCCAAGTCAAATTACTTACTATCTTTCTATGCTAGGATGAGTAGCCAGTCAGATGAAAGTGCCACATCCACGTTATTATTGGCTGGAGATACCTGATTATGAAGTACTATCACCTCTTCCTTTTCCTCTTCTCTCTAGGCAAAACCACTATCCATTTATTCAAACATTTATTGAGCATCTACCATATGCAAGGCATTGTGTAATTGCTTACTTGCCTCTCAGTTATGAGGTAATGTTTATAAAATGTTGATCTGTTAGTGAATAATACTGTGTTACTATGTACTAAAAGCCAGTAGTGGGGATTTATAGCATTCTGCTAGTTTATGGACTTTACAGAAAATGGGACGTTAACTGCAATTATTGGTGTGCTAATAATATACCTCTCTTTCAAAGATTTATATGGTGAAATGTTAGCCTTTTTAAGTCCTTCAGTGCGACTCTGGATTAAGGCCAACTTGTGATGACATCATTTAGCTGTCGCACAAGACCAAAGGTTGCAAAGGACTGCAAGATCCTCCAGAAGGGAGAGTTGGGCCAGGAAGAGAGAGGATGAATGTTCACATCAAACGTACTTAGAGAAAGCACATGGATCTTACTTCTCTTAATCTATAGGGGCAAAAATATCCCTGGACATTTAGGCTCTGAGTTACTGAAGATTTCACTCACTAGCCAGACACGGATCGTGAGAGTATGTGAACATTTGACTGTTGACCCCATCCAAGAAGGTCAGCTGTTCCTGTCATTGTAGGAAGTAAAAACAGACACTGTTGACACAAACTTAGCACTTAGGGGTCTAAAATAAGTCTGGAACAGAACATAGTGTGTGAGCAGTTGAGGCTTTGCTACTGCTGATTAGGTTCAAGCAAGATATGGTGTTGGGAAATGCTGCTTAGGCTTATTTATTTTTGAGATAGTCCTGCAGTGTAGCACAGGCTGGCCTTGAACTTGCCATTCTTCTAGGCCTCCAGAATCCTGGCTGAGTCATTACCCCCAAACTTGGCGCGGGGATTTAAAAAAAAAATTGATCAAATTCTTAGTATTCCAATATAAAATTTAATTTTTTTCTGCGAGTATCTCTGTATATTTTTCATTAACACAAGGCAAATAAACTTGGGACTCAAAATGCAAGTTGGGAGTGCAGAAACAAGCCACTTTGAGAGGCAGCATAGTGAGGCTGAGGAAAGAAAGTGGAGTTAGAGGGGCTGGAGATATGGCTCAGAGATTAAGAGTGCCAGCTGCTCTTCCAGAGGTTCAATTCCCAGCAACCTCTTGGTGACTTTCCAGCCACCATATAATGATATATGGTGCCCTCTTTTGGCAGGCAAGCGGAACAATGTATACATAATAAATAAATAAATCTTTAAAAGAAAGAAAGTGGATTTAGAGTGCCAGCTGGTCTAGGGTGTAGTGCCTGGCACCATAGTAGACACCCAGCAAACACCAGTTGTTATGGCTACAGTTATCTTCAGCTGGGCTCTTCAGCTCTGCATGGGTTCTTTCTTTTCCTTCCTTCCTTCAATCCACTTTTAGTTCTGAACTCTGCTGACATTTGGCACATCCAGTACATGTTTTGAAAGGGAGGAGGCTCAGCTGTGGGCTCTGCTTTTAGCCACTGACAATTATTTAGACACATTTGATTTGAATCTTGTCTTTTCTGTTATAAATGGGATTTGAATATGTGATAACGGGGAGGTTCTTAACCATGACAGACTAGAGAGAACTGTAAATGTGACTTTGCTGAATCTGTGCTTTCTTTCTTTACTCAGAATGTTTGATGTAGGCGGCCAAAGATCAGAACGGAAAATGTGGATTCACTGTTTCGAGGGAGTGACAGCAATTATCTTCTGTGTGGCCCTCAGTGACTATGACCTTGTTCTGGCCGAGGATGAGGAAATGGTATGTTGAAACATTCAGTACAGCTAGGAAATGGACAGAACTCCTAGGAAGATGGGTTGCCACCATTTGCTCACAAAAACCAAAACTTAATGCCCTTTATTTTCTTGTCATTGAGGTTAGATTTCCAATTAATTGTTCCAGTCTCCATTTGCTCTCGGCAGCCACATTATGTGGACAGGATTGCATCTTGTCAGCCATCCCTTCTCATCCCCTAACCCCAAGAACTGCACAAATCAAGACTGACTCAGCTTCAAGCTATGCTAATCTCTAACTTAGTTCCGTGAGTTCATTTTGCTGCTAACCCATCCAAATCCTGTTTGCTTTTCAGAACCGGATGCATGAAAGCATGAAACTGTTCGACAGCATTTGTAACAACAAGTGGTTTACAGACACGTCAATCATCCTCTTTCTTAATAAGAAAGACCTTTTTGAGGAAAAAATAAAGAGGAGCCCATTAACAATCTGTTACCCAGAATACACAGGTAAAGGTTGTGGGTCCTGTTGGGTCTTAGGTCAGCAGTGATGACTCACGCGTTCACTGGGTGTAATGTGGAGTTCTGGTGGGTACATACTGTACATACTGTACCCACTGCAAGTAACCTTTATCTCTTACCTCAACTCCGTGCTCATTCTTTCTTTTCTGTCCACTTATCAACTTTCTTGGCTATTTAGTTCATAAGGTGAAAGATGGCATTGCCACCATTTCTGTGTCCCCTCCATTAAAACAACGAGGCTGCACTGGGATTGCTTAACCTCAAGTTGAGTTTCTAGCAAAAGATTCTGGTTATGGCTAAAGAAAGTATGCCAGGCGGTGGTAGTGCATGCCTTTAATCCCAGCACTTGGGAGGCAGAGGCAGGCAGATCTCTGTGAGCTCTGAGTTCGAGACCAGCCTGGTCTATAAGAGCTAGTTCCAGGACAGGGTCTAAAAGTACAGCCAAACCCTGTCTTGAAAAACAAAAACAAAAAAACAAACAAACAAAAAAAGGTAAAAAGCTGGAGGCCAGTCAAGTTATTTGAGATTAGGGAATCACAAACAAGAATGGCAGGACTGTACCACTATGTGAAAAGCCATAGTTAATTATTTCCACAGAAGGACTCTTGTTAGCTGAGGCACGATATTCTTTTTACAGTCAGAGAGATGATTGTAAAATGAGGAGAGAAAGTGATAAAGTGAGAAACATGCTAGCTATCAATAGGAGAGAAATAAAGGTTTATAAAGTCTATAAAAGAAAACAACCAGTATCTTACTTTAGGGCACTGGGCCAGGGGGATGGCTCTGCAGGTAAAGGTGCTTTTGCTAAGCCTGATGACCCAAGTTCAGTCCCTGGGACTTACAGAACCAACTCCTGGAAGATGCCCTCTGACTACCATGTGCACACTGTGGCATGCATGAACCTACATACATACACCTCATAAATAAATAAGTAATAATTTTTTTTTAAAGAAAGCAAGGAACATGCTTACAAAAATGAGTAGTCAGCAATACAGATTTTTAAAAGACTAGAAAATGACCTTTGGAACTGACTGTTTGTTTTGTGTGGTTTTTTTTTTTTTTTTTTTTTTTTGGTGTTTTGTTGGTTGGTTGGTTGGTTGGTTGGTTTTTCAAGACAGGGTTTCTCTGTAGCTTTGGAGCCTGTCCTGGAACTTGATCTGTAGACCAGGCTGGCCTCGAATTCAGAGAGATCTGCCTACCTCTGCCTCCCGAATGCTGGGACTAAAGGTGTGTGCCACTACCATCTGGCGAGCTAACTGTTCTTATAGTTTGGTTGTGAGCCTAGCCTTCAAGGGCCGAGCCATCCCTCCAGGCTAGCACTACCAGCTGCTGTTGTCTTTGTAGTTTACCTGTCTTTAACAGGCAGTTTCTAAGTCTGTCCTAACTAAAGGCTTCCCAAGGCCAAAAGATGATGTAGAAAGTAGATGGCGAGTGCTGATGATACGTATTAAAAGTAAGGCTTGCTGTTGGTCTTCTCTTCCCTACTCCTTCAAAAGCAGCAGCTCTATTGAGATGGAACTCAGCCTTTAAAGTGTGTTGCTAGCTGTGCATAATGGTGATGCCTAAATGCCGCATTGGGAGGATGAGGTAGGAAGTCATGAGAGTGAGACCTGTGTCAGAGTATGGAACTAGGGTCCCACTTCTTTCCATCTTCTATTTTGCCTTGACTTAAGCCTTTTAAAAACTGGAATGATTTTGAAATGAATGCTTTACCTTCTTGGGATCCTTATTTCAGGATCATTCCAAGGGGCAACATGTGCCTTTTAAACACTTGCATTCTCTAGAAACATACCCACCTACTTTTCCTCTGTACACTGTCTAGATTTCTTTTTTAGCTAAACAATCTAAATGAAGAGGAGTGAAACTTGTCCTTTTCCTTATTCCTTGTGTGCGATGATTTTATTTTAGTTACAGTGGTAGTCCGTTTTCCTGAAGAATCTAGTGATTATAGAACATCCTAATGACAACAGAAATAGAGGAAGAATTCTGTTTGTATTCGGTTGTGTGGTGTTGCCTTTCTTAAGTGCATATGGATGGCTGTTATGATTGGAGCTGACAGTGTTGGTTGTCTGTTTCAGGCTCCAATACATACGAAGAGGCAGCTGCTTACATTCAGTGCCAGTTCGAAGATCTGAACCGAAGAAAAGATACCAAGGAGATCTACACTCACTTCACCTGTGCCACAGACACCAAAAATGTGCAGTTTGTGTTTGATGCTGTTACAGATGTCATCATTAAAAACAACTTAAAGGAATGTGGACTTTATTGAGGAGACGGGATCAGTGACAGGTAAACTCTCGGCAGTTGGTTACAGTGCTCTGGTGGGGTGTTCCGCCTTTGTAGTTGTTTTTCTAATTAATGGTGTTCTTCTTTTTCAGTTACTGCAATGAGGAGTGTTGAGATCCGACACCACCTGCTGTCTCTTGGGTCAGCTGCAAGCATGACGGGACCAGGGAATGGCAGCAGCATGCAGAATCTTAGCACTCTTTAGCACAATCTTCTGTATTAGGGAATGTTTAGTTGGCATGAGGCGTTCGCGTCAGACATTGGAATTGGAACAGCTGTAAAGTGTGGCTGGCTCATCGAGGCATCGCTCGGATTTTCTAATCTCAAATGTTTAGGGTGTGTTGACGTCAAGGTGCTGCATTCCAGAACTTAAATATGTAGCTTACTTTTTTCCTTCTTAACAAATCACCAGTAGTTAGTTTCTAAGATTTTTCTCATCAAGAGAAGAAAAACTAAAAAAAAAAAAAAAAAAAAAAAAATCTTACTAGTTTGCAAAAGAATCTTCTGAGAACTGTCTTAACTATGCACATGATGTGACCAGACATCTTGAAAATATTCCTCTTAGTAGGAGCTGTTTGTTTTTACCTCTTGGAACAGTCAGGCGTAATATTTCCATAATTAAAATTTTTTTCCTGGTTATCGGGACTACGTTACTACAGCTTTTCTGAATGAAATTCGTGTTGCCGTCATGTTTAAAGTGCCATGGTGGCTTCCAACCAGCAGTTAAATTGGAAAGCTCTACAGTTTGCTCCTAGCACTCATTTCTTAAGTTGTGGTTGAAAGTTAGCCTTGTTTATGCTGGTTACCAAATTTCTAGGTGAGTACTGACGTAATATGATATTAACTCCGCTTCTTGGATACAGTCACACGCAGGATAGCTGTCAGTTAGAGGTGCAGACTGCTAAATTGAGAACCAATGACTTGCTGCTACAGATCTACTAAAGTGACCACTTGATTCTTGCCTGTTTGTCTCCATCATGGAGAATCTTGTATGAGGTGCCCCTGTTTCCATCTTCGTGGCCTTTTTTGTTGGGAGACATCTAAGCTGTATTAACAGTGCGTGCTTTTCCTGTGAATGTGGTGCCAAACCCGTTTGCCGTTGTTTTTGCTGTAGCGGTGTTAATTGTAGTGATCCATAGTCAGGCTGCTCTTTTTCTAAACTTGCCTTTGGGGGCTTTTTTCCACTTTGTCATGTGTGCAGATGTTAATCTGTTACAGTTGGCAGCAGTATTAAAATGGTGAGTAAAGAGTCCAGGATTACTCCTGCTTGTAACTAGTCCTTTCTGGAAACCGTCTTCTGTTTCCTTTTGCTCCTGCTGAGTATGCTTTGGCCTTTGAGAGTGGGTTTCGGTAGAATGGGGTCTCTGGATTTGTGGTAGTGTTCTCAAATCTAGGGCTGAGGGTGTGATGTCCAGTCTGTGTACAAGGGTGTGAGTCATAGTCCGGCTTCCTGGTGTACATTCTTCTTGTGCTGAGAGTGACGGTCCTTTTGTACAGTGTATAGCAACTGTCACTGAACACTGAGTGACCTCTGAGGTTGGCAAAGAGTGCATTTGAGCATTTCAGATCAGTCGTTTGAGCAGTGCCTTTTGAGGGCCAGTCTTTTTAGATTGGACCCGGTTCATCTTTTGATGACACCTCCTACTCATTTAAAAGGTTGGTGGTCAGAACTGCTTCGGAGAGCAAGCCACAGTGACCAGTGCCTTTGCCAGCAGCTTTTAAAATTTTTAATTCTCACGGGGAAATCATTCTTGTGCAGACAGTATAACTATTATCTGACATGCATTTCTTTAGGTCTAGGAAAATATTGTCTGAAAGAAAGGAAAGTATTGATTTTAATCAGCAATTGACCTAATTCCCAAGTGTAGGGGTTCCTAAGTCCTACTCTGAACTTGTCTTTCCTTTGCTGTATTCTGTAATATAAAATATCTGGGAACAAGAACTAGTGAAATGTTGTTTTCATGACTTTTCTATACTTTGGGTTTAATGAAATGGTGTTGATAATTAAAATAATAGATAATCCATGCTTAATTTTACGTTAGAATGCATTTTGTATTTTTCATTTGAATCTGTCTATTTTTTAAACCTTTCTGTTAATTAAAAATAGAAGTTCTCCACTTCTTGGCCTCTACATACTACTTCTATTGCTTTCTGTTTACATGGAATCATCCTAACCAGCCAGATACCTTCATTTAGGATGGGAGGGGGCAGTTTGAGTTTTCAGAGCTGACCCTAGGGGGAAAATGACACCGAAACTGTCTGAAGAGATTGACTTCTTGGCCATGGGCTGGTGATCTGTGAACTCTAAAGTGCTTCTGTTCATCTAGGCTTTCAGATCTCTAACTTGTGTTCAACATTTCCTAGGCAGAGTCAGAATGTGGGAGTTAAACATCCTATGAGCCTGGAGGAAAAAGATTGAAGCCGAAAGTTAGGAGTTTCATCTGGAAAATGGTGGAGTTTTATAATGGATAATGTTCATTTTGAGGTGGCCAGACCTTTGGATCATCTAAGAAGTCAACTAAGAAAATTAGTGTTTATTTAATTAAAAAACAATAGATTGACCTTAGTTGGGAAGATGGCAACCATAGCCTTTGTTGTTGACAGCCACATCTTCTCCTGAATGGAAGTTTGGGCAGATGGGAGGCATTCCTCTAATGGACTGTCTTTCCTCACCTAATCAGTTCAGGCTTGTAAAAGACTACACCTGCCGTGAAACTCCTGAAACTATTACCGGTGTCTGTCACTGGATCTTCACATAATATTTTCATCTTAGATAATTCGAATTCTAAATTGTACAGCTCTAGCTCACTGTATTACTTAATTGATGGGTTGTTACTGTTTAAAAGCTACTAAAATCATAGGACAAGTGGACCAATTAAAAAATTTTCTTGGGGGCTGGAGAGATGGCTCAGAGGTTAAGAGCACTGCCTGTTCTTCCAAAGGTCCTGAGTTCAATTCCCAGCAACCACATGGTGGCTCACAACCATCTGTAATGGGGTCTGGTGCCCTCTTCTGGCCTGCAGGCATACACACAGACAGAATACATAATAAATAATGTAATGAATACATAATAAATAAATATTTAAAAAAAAATTTTTTTTCTTTTAGCCGGGCAGTGGTGGCGCACGCGGGCACCAAAGCTACAGAGAAACCCTGCCTTGCAAAACCAAAAAAAAAAAATTCTTTTAAAAATTCTCATATAGTTTTACATACACATAGACTTTTTAACCAATCGCTCCCTCTTTCCCTCCCTCTCCCCTGTGTTTTTTGTAACAGTCCTGGCTGTCCACTTTACAGACTTGAGGCTCACAGATATGCCTGCCTCTGCCTCCTGTGTGCTGGGATAAAGGCGTGTGCCACCACCCCCTGGCTTTCCTGGCTGCCGTTGCTGTTTGTAGCTGTGGCTTTAGCTAGTGCTTCTCTGGGCTGACGTGTCACAGTCATATCTCCCGCTGGTTAAGCGCTTGTTGCAGGACTCTTTGTGGATTGAAATCACCTAGAAAGTGAAGGCAGTCTCATTTTAATTAAAAACTTTTCTTTGACTTTTCCCTCTTCCGGATGTTAAGGATGTCAATCACAGTCCTCTGATCAAAGCTAAATAGCACTCAGGTTGGTGAGTGTTAGTGTTTGGGAATCTTGCTTTCCTTGTATGCTGCTAACTGTCGGGAAAATGTTAGCTTAGTTTGCCTCTATCCCAGGTGATTATTGTGTTCTTTCTCAGGCTCCATAGAACAGACCAGAGACCTGAACTGGATCAGACAGAGCTCCCATGTGACTCTGACCATTGTACATTATTATATGGTTTCCATAAGCACACACACACAAAATACAGGACATCTAGAGGCTTGCCATGGAAACTTGGTTTCAATATGAATTTTTAGGAAGTGGAAATAAAGGTTTCTCTTTAGAAGCAAGGATACTGATTTCCATAATGGTCAAGGTCTTTGTTCTTTCATCTTGTACGCATGCACACACACAGTCCTGAGGAATGATGGTGACACTTGGAGTGCATGGTTAATTTATGCAGATTCCCCGACTAACTGAACTTGGGGAAATGTGGTTTTTTTGTTTGTTTGTTTAAAGTAAATTTGAGGCAACAGAACAGACTAATATTAAGAAAAACATGTATTCATGCATAATCGCAAAGTCACTAGTGAATGACAGGGTTTCTGTCAGTAACTTAGAAATACTTCTGGGTGTTAGGGATTATCTCAGTAGTTAAGAGCACTGGCTGCTTTTCCCAAGGATTTGATTTTAGTTCCCAGCACCCACATGACAGCTCACCACCATTGATAACTCCAGTTCCTGGGACTGTGACACCAGGTACAAGTGGTGGTCAAGCACATACATAGATACAGGCAGAACACTCATACACGGAAATAAAATGTCTTAACATTTTTAAATTTATTTTCTCACATGCCTTAAAAGTGCCTTACGTACAGACAATTGGTATGAGGGCTGCTGGGTCAAACCATTTCTACAGCTCAGATGCAGAGTATTTGATTTTTATGCAGAATTTCAAGAGACTTGGGGCACACAAACATTTATTTCCACATCATTTATTTACAGTATTTATTTATGCAGTAAAATGTTTAAAAAAATCTTGTGACAAGGCCAGGCAGTGGTGGCATACACCCTTAATCCCAGCACTCAGGGAAACAGAAGCAGGCAGATCTCAGTGAGTTCAAGGCCAGCCTGGTCTACAATGCAAGTTCCAGGACTACATAGAGAAACCCTGTCTTAAAAAGCCGAACTAGATAGATAGATAGATAGATAGATAGATAGATAGATAGATAGATAGGTAGATAGATAGGTAGATAGATAGGATAGATGATAGATAGATAGATAGATAGATAGATAGATAGATAGATAGATAGATAGATAGATCTCCTGTGACAAATATGTGTAATAACAGATAAATATGCATGTATGGGGATCACAAGGTGGCAGAAGTAATAAATAATTAGTGATACATTATTGCAGTATATTAAATTGGCTGACTTTAATACATTGGCTAAATTGGTTTTGTGTGATCTGGCCTATGTCATCTTGTACCTATCTCCAGGCCCACCTCGATATTCATTGGGCTATTCAGACAGTGTAACTGACAAGTTTGTGAGAGAGATAGATAGAATTCTAGAAATTACTTTTTTTTTTTTTTTAGATCTTTGCTCATGTAGGACAAAGTCCTGAGACCTCTTAGAAGTCTTAGGAGACTGAGAATTACTTGGAGTGCTGGGTTCCACTCTTCGCGGCTTCTACCTAAGCCGTGAACCTTTGAGCAGGTCACTTTCAGTCTTGCGTTCCTCTTGTGCTGTCCATAGGTGGGCCACACTAAATAAATACCAGGTATGATACTCTATAATTTTGACCAGATAGAAACAAACATTTGAAGATGTTGTGTAACGTGCTTTATGATAATCAGGATTATACTAATGTCCCACAACGCCTGTGTTTACGGCAGCTGCTGCACAGACAGCATGTGGCAGACATGGATGGAGTTGATCCTGAATTTCTGTTTTTCTTGTAAAACAGAGTGACGTCTTTGTTTTGTATTCAGCCATCTTATTTTCTGTTCCCACTGGTATGTTCCCATCTCGGTCTCAGTACACCTGTGTGACCGCAGGCAGCACCCCCAGGCTCTAGCACTTGCAGTCCCTGGCCAGCAGTGGAGTCAGCTCTGGGGGCTGTGCTGGGTAAAGAGGGCAGTGGGAGGTAAGCTCCTCCCCCTTCACCACCATACCAGCACAGCACCTCCGGCGTCAATGGCACACTTTAGTCTCCGGCTCATCTTCAAGCAGAGAGTGGGGTTGAAATGCTGCTTGGCCTTGAAAACAGCAGGGAATAGTGATTCAGACGTGTCAGTGTACGTGCGTCTTCCACTGAATGGCTTCTGCTTTTGTCTCGTTCCTTTCCCCACAGAAAGTGCCCAGCACATTGCTAATTGTTTTTCCATTGTTTTTACTGCAGGAAAGAATACATAACAGGAGCTCCAGGTTTTATAATTAAGTAAAGAGCACATTCCCACTATTAGATTTCCTTCACCCCCATCCATCTCCACAGTTTATTTCTTCTCCTAATGGGAAGCTCTACATGCTAAATAGTAACTCCCAGTTCCCTCTTCTTCCGAGCCCTCGTGCCCACCATTCTCTTCTCTTTTTCAGGCTCTTATGTTCCACAGATACGCGGATTTACACAGTATTTGTCCTGTCCTGTCATCCCAGTATTAAAATACCCATCTGATTTATGTGAGATTCTAGCAGCCTCTACCAGGTTGTCACAGTGTTCTCTAACCACGCGGTGGTGGGAAGTGCCTCACAGCCTCTCAGTGCTGTTTCAGGCTGTATAACAGGAACTTAGGCCAGTAAACAAATTTGGTTATGCTTTTGTGCTGCTCAGTTCAGTGTGGGAACCTGTTTATCTTAGCTGAGTTCTGTTGAATTCAGCTTTCTAAGAACTAAGGTTGCAATAGAAGACAGGGGTGGGCTAGTGAGAACACTCTCTGCTGGCTTACAAAGAATATGACATCTCACATAGTGACTAACGTCAGCTTTTAATGAGACAAAAGAAAGAGCAGAGTAAATGCCGTAGATTTGTTTTTTTTTTTTTACACAAAATCTTTCATGCACATAATCAGAATGACTGAGATAAAAATAGGCTATTTAACCTGGTTGTTCACACCTTGAATCCCAACAACTGGGGGACAGACAGGTGGGTTTCTGTGAGTTTGAGGCCAACACGGTCTACACGGTGTTTCAAAAATAAAAAACAAGCAAGCAGAAACAAAACAATCAATCAAAAACCAGGCCATTTACATGAAAGTAAAAATTGACTTTCTCTATAGCTCTAGAGAGTGGAATGAGGGACAGGCTGAGCTGGGGCGAGGGCTAATGGCAGCAGCAACTATGTTTCCCCATTTCCTTGGAGGGGAGCCTTAGCCAAGTTTCAGGAAGTCCTTTTGACTTTGTTCTAAGGTGTGGACGAGCAGGTGAATGGGTCCCAGTGGGGCCCACAGAGTTAGTGTATGTGGCCACATCCTAACGTCATTTGAGAGCAGCTAGGGAGATGGGCCTCTCAGGAGTCACTGTCTCCTGTGTCTGCCGAGAGAGTCATTTTGTGAGATGTGCGTGCAAGGTACATTATGTGAATCTCTGAGCCAGTTAAACATTAACCTGTCAGAAAACAGGAGAAGACTAAAATGCAGCTGGTTTTGGCTTGAGAATTTCATTGCTTTGCCAAAAATCCTGTTCCATTGGCTCTTACAATGGAGAGCAAATGAATATTAGAAGCCAAAGAGATCAATAGAAGCAAAGAAACCAGTGCAGTCCGGAGGGGCGGCTCTCTTAGAAGGAGCAAGTGGGGTAAAACTGTTTTGGGCTTGAATAGACAACCATGCTCTGGGTTCTGCCTTTTGAGACAGAGTTGCATTATGTACCCCTGACTGCCCTGGAACTCCCAGAGATGCCCCTGCCTCTGCCTCCTGGGTGCAGCGCTGAAATTAAAGCTGTGTGGCACTACTGGCTGTAACTCAGTTTCTGTTAAAAGTTGGGGCTTCAGCGTCTACAGAGAAAATTGTTTAATTTGCTTGTTTCCTTTGTAATTCTGAATTTTATTTTATGCATTGTAAAGCATTCTGAGGGACAGAGTGATGGCTCAGTGGTTTGAAAATACGGTTGTTCTTCCAGAGGACCTGGGTCCTGTTCCCAGCACCCACAGGGTGGCTCATAACCATGTGTAGCTCTTGTTCCAGAAATTTGGTGCCCTCCTTGGACATCAGTGAACATCTGGTATGCAAGTAGTTCACAGACATATGCGGGCAAGACACTCATCCACGTAGAATAAGGATAAATCTTTTTTTTTTTCTTTTTAAAGCATTCTGAGATGGGGATGCTGGTGTGTGGCTGTAGTCCTGCTCTTCACAGAGTAAGGCAGGTGGATCTCTTGAACCCTCAAACTCAAGAGCAGTTTCCGTAATACCATGAGCCCCCATCTCATAAAAACAGAGAAACCAAACAAACTGTTACTCTAAAGAGAGATCCCTAGCCTTCCTCATCCTGCTGTAGGAGTTCATGATCTAGAACATTCTCAGAATCATTGTATACTGAGTTAGAGTAAACGGGTCAGTGATGACTGAGGTGTGCCATCAACGTAGTTCCTGCATTGCCTTTAGTGCAAGTGCTTTGCCCAGATGGGCTTTGCTTATTATTTATTTGTTTTATTAATAGCCATACCTAGAGTAGTTCCTATGGCGATTCTGGCAGGTTGCAGTGTGCATGTGTGTATTCTTTTGCTCATTCAGACTGTTGAGCAAATCCTCATTTCAGTGGTCTCACGTTGGTTCTTTGGTGCGTTTCAAGCCCGTGATGCTGGCTGGCTCTGTAGTATTAATATTGCTGGAAGCATCTGAGTGTGAATGGGTGTTTCTGGCAAGGAGCAGATTTTCGTGTTAATTGACACTTTCTTTTATATACTAAACCGTGGATGCCAAGTGCTCTCCTCACTAGTAGTTGTAAATGCTAAATCTATACATGGCTTCACCACCTCCTGTCAAGATAAATGCAAGCTTCATTTCCCCTCAGAGGAGCTCAAAGGAATAATTTATCCCTGGTTTGTTTGGGAAGATGTTTGCAGCCAGTCTCACGTGGACCCAGCTGCAAAAATTTCCAGTGCCTAAAGCCAGCTCAGCAATGGCTTTTGTTCCTGGGAAGCCTGGAGCAGTTGGAATGAGAATCAGATTGGTCTCTTGTTCCAGTTCTATGATACAGAAGTGGCAGCAGTAACGTCCTAAGTGGGAGTGTGTTGGTGTCCTCGAGTTCAGCCACACACTCTTACATAGATAGCTAAGCGGTTATTTATAGAGAGAAAGGAAGTTGTTTGGGCACCCAGGGTAGGGGGGAGAGATAACTTATTTTTAATGAGGATGATCGTTTCTGAATGAGTGCCTTAGAAACTAGTAGGCTCACATCCTTCATCCAGTGAGCCGATTGAGCTGAGGCATATTGATCTGCTAGTAAAAACCCAGGAGCAGATTTAATTTTTAATAGTTTATCGCTCAATGTAAGGAAGGTTTGCCGTTACATTTTGAGATAATTTACTCTTAATAACCAAGTGTGGTAGTTGCAACCTTCATGGGCTTTTTGTGGCCGACCACAGCAGCTTCCAAGAGCTTTCTCTTCAGTTAGGTTTGTGCTCTTCAGTATAGCCCTGTGAAGTAGGTAAGGAAGTTACCTTCAAAATACAGATGAGGGACTTCTGCTTCGGAAAAATGGAAGTCCTTCTACACTACTAAGCAGAATTAGTACTGGAACCCGGGTCTTAGGCTCCTTGGCCTTGCATTCGTTAAACTGTATTAGCCACACTACTTGAAAGACAGTTGTAAGTGTTCCTTCTGTATCTCCAACAGAATGGGCTTGTCCGTCATGCCCGACACTTGTTGACTCATCTTCTGCACGAAGTCTCTCAGATTCTAAGTCTGCTTGTAGAATGTGCACCCGAGGAACCAAGCATTAAAAGAGCCCGCAGTCCTTGAGGTTTTCTTTGATGATAATATCTGTAACTGCATCGAACACAAATTTGACATTCTGTGTGTCTGTCGCACAGGTCATGTGACTGTAGATTTCTTTGACATCTCTTCTCATGTTGAGGTCAAGGAACTGGCTCTTGATATAATTCCCGGCATCCTCATAGGAGTTGTTCCCTGGTTTTAAAAAAATTAGTAAAGTAGAATAAATTAACCTGTAGGGCTCAATTTTTAGGTGGCTAATTTGCTTCTTGGAGTATTGTTTTAGATAAATACGGTCAGGGACTGTTGGAGTGAGGATTCTGTCGTGCCTGCAGCGACCATCAGGAGTGAGGGCTCTGTCGTGCATGCGTCAGGAGTGAGGATTCTGTCGTGCCTGCAGGCGAGTGTCAGGAGTGAGGATTCTGTCGTGCCTGCATGTGACCCTCAGGAGTGAGGGCTCTGTCGTGCCTGCAGGCGACCGTCAGGAGTGAAGACTGTTGTGCATGCATGTGACTGTCAGGAGTGAGGATTCTGTCGTGCATGCAGGTGTTTCTCACTTGAGTGAAACAGTAGAACAGAGGAAAGGTCCCTGTGTTTCCATTTTTGCTTCTTGGTAGGTATCCTTGGAACAGTCAGTGGCTCTGGTGTATATATCTGCTCTATTCCAGGAACATCTGAACTTGAACCTTAAAACTATTCCTTTTGCCCTGGAATGAGGCGAGCCCGTCACTCTTGTCTGCAGCAGTCAGCACCTACCATCATACTCTGGAAAACAAATACTGAGGTGGACTTTCTTAATTTTCTCCTCGAAGAGGTCCTTCTTGTTGAGGAAGAGGACGATGGAGGTGGCTGCAAAGAACTTGTGGTTACAGATGCTGTTGAACAGGTGCAAAGACTCATGCATGCGATTCTGGGGAGGAAACGTGGGAAATAGCAGATCAGCTTGTGGGGTGGATGTCTGTTTATTCCTGTTCTAACTGAACAGGACAGTGTTCCAAATAAAAAGGGAAAGCAAGGGAACAGATCATCTGTTTTTAGTATGGTGGGGGACAACCAAACATTTAAATTTCCCTTCTGTCATTTTAATAGCTTGATTCGAGGGAGATTATTCACATCAGAGTCTCGGTTCCCTTGTAGTTATGAATGCTAGAGAGGACATGGATCTGTGGTATCTGTGGTAGTAACTGGCAAGGAACACCCGTGTGTGGAGATCTTTAGCTCCAGAGTCCAGATAGCATCCATAGTGCTGCCTTTAGGCTGAAACCAGGCCCAAATCAGCACTTTGTTACTTGCATCTCCAGGATGATTTTGCTAGCTTCTGTCAGCTGGGGCATGGCTGGCGTGGATTCTCTGACCCCAGTGCCGCAGGAAAGGGCTGGAGGATTTCCCAGCGCCATACCACCGGCACCGGGGAGATATGTGTGCGGAGTCCAGAGTCAGCCAGTCCCCATGTCAGGTGAGCGGTTAGGGACCTGAAGTGCACCATCAGCTGACTGGAAGTCATTCTTGTCATCTAATCAGGGAAAGCTCACTGGTAGCTCATCCTGCTGTTGATAACTTCCATACCTGGTACACTCAGACTGCCGTGGGAATGACAGCAAAGCTGTATTTCTGTTGGGCACCTGTTTATGTGAAATTAGTGTTTCCACATCTTTGACGTCCTTTTCTCAAATCAAGAGAAGGGAGCTGGCATATAGACATCCTAAGTCCTTGCACTGTCCATTTTATCTGTCTGCTTCCGCTTAGCATCACCGCCTCTAGCTTTCTGGGGGCCGCACCCCATGCTTGGATTCCTAATCTCACACCAAGCTCATGCTCAGAAAATTTGGAGCTTTGAAGTACGAACCTCGAACCTGCAGCAGAAAGGGGATTTTCTGGAATTAATAAGGTCGAGGCAGAGATTGGTCTGCTAGGGGATGTCTAGGCTGTCAGTTCTAGTCAGTTGGGCAGTGGAATGACAAGATTTGGAGACGGGGTCACTCACCACTTCGTCGTCTTCCACCAGCACCATGTCATAGGCACTGAGAGCCGCACAGAAAATGATGCAGGTGACTCCCTCAAAGCAGTGGATCCATTTCTTCCTCTCTGATCTCTGCCCTCCCACGTCAAACATCCTGGGAAGAAGCAGCTGTTAGCAGGGGTGTGGCCAACGTGTGAGTCACTCGCCTTTGGTATTCACCCTGAGAGGCGGCTGCTTGGGGCCAGGTAGTAGCAAAATCAGAAATAGGAGAGGCAGGAGGAGGACAGTAATCCCGAATTGGGCTTCAGCAGAGGCCAAGAAACAAGCTGTGAGACCCGAGATGCCCCCAGGGAACCGAATGCTGACCTGAAATTCAGATCTTTCACAGAAAACTTGGTCTCGATAATGCCTGTGGTTTTGACTCTGGATCGGAGCACATCTTGCTCACTGGGGAGGTAGTCAGGGTCTGTAATCCGGTCCAGCTGGTTCAGGTAGCTAGGGAAGACAGTGGTGTTGGTGATGTTCCAGTTGCAGTCCAGACTAAAGGAGGCACAGGGTCTCCCCCTAAGTCACACGCTAATAGAAGCAGGGCTGGCGTCCACAGCACTGTACCAGGATTGTACGAATGCTTGTGCGCTTAGGGGAAGGAAAGGGGCTGAGGATCTTATGAATGCCACATCCACCTGAGGCAGCTCTTCTGTCCTCCTGACTAAGCCTTTCCAGACCCTTGAATAAGACTTGTTTAAATGTGTGCAAAGTTCCATCAAGAGACCAGAAACAGATTGAGAGAGAGAGACTTGGAAGACACAAGACAAGGCAATGTGTGGGCCTTCTCCCGAGTCAACCAGGAATGTGAACACATTTTAATATTTGGAGATACTAAGGAATTATTAAATGTTTTGGTATGATATGATTTCTTCTTTGCATTTTAAATCCATAGTGAAATTGTTAGGACAGCGATAGCTGCAGAGGACTTTAACCAGCGGAGGGGCTGGAAAATGAGCTCAGGGTGGCTGTGAATCACTAAACTGGACGCTTCACTGTGCGCCCTGCTTTCCTGAGAACATGAGGAAGTTCACGAAGGGTGGGCAGAGGGCAGCTGTGAACTGAAATGACCTAAGATGGAGCAGGAGGAAAACTGACATAAATGTCTAATGCACACCGCGTAGTTTCACATCTAATGTCTCACTAAATCTTGGAAGACTTTGAGATTCCTGTCCCCCTTTACAGATAAAGGGAAAACTTCAGAGGGATTCCTTGGGAGGACTGAGTTTCAGGGCAGCCTTGGCTGCAGTCAGCCCCTGTCTCAACGCAGAACAAGAAAGCGCTGTGGCCTGCTGTACAGCTCAGCTCTGTAGTCACCCGGACCTGGAGCCAAGGGCAGCCGCTGCTGTTTATGCGCAGTTTTTTCCGCGCTAACTGACTTCACTGGGCTGTAGTTTTTCTACCAGAAAGTGGGACTAATGAGCTTTGAAGGCTAGTGTACAAGCAAGGACTCTGAGATGTAGTGTATGTTGTGCCCTAGCAGGGACAACCTTCGTAAGGGAGGATTCTAGAAACTCAATGGTAACATTTCAAGATGAGGTGACAGAGGGGTAAACATGGGTCTGTTTGGTCTTACAGCTCATGCCCACTTCTGATACTGTACTGTGGGGGGGCTGATAGCTGTATCCCTTATCTTTTTGGAACCAGCTTTGCAAAGTTGATAGTCTCTTAGTTGATAGACCATCTTTCTTTGGTTTGCCTCTTGAGATAGGGCCAATGGCTGCTAAGCAGAGCCACTGTTGAATTTTGTGTCTTCAGCTTCGTAAGCTGCAGGGAGGCAGTGTAAAGAAATGCAAAACAGAGGGAACTGGCAGATGTCCCCACAGCCTTAAGTTTAGTTTGTGGGTCTGCGGCTTCCACTGCCTGGCGCTTAAAGCTGGGTGAGGTTTCTCCTGAACATCATCCCATCCCACCTCCCACCCGGAGCCTTACTAAGATGCCGAGTCATTGAGCTGGAACTCTGCAGCTCTGTCAAAGCAGGCTTGAATGCCAGGGTCCTTCCACAACTTCCTGATGACCTCCACCAGCTCAGGGGGCATGGTCCCCTCCTCAATGGAGTCTGCCAGGTTATTGAGCTGTCGACCCGCATCCTGTGTAAATCGAGAAATGTGGCTGAGAATGAGCTAGGAGGGAGTCAGTGACTGTCCAGGTTTCTGGGAACTTACTGGATGGAACGTAGATGTTGCTACCAAAGCCTGAGGTGGAACAGTCTCAGTGAGAGTGCAGTGTAAGGAAATATGCTAATTTACTTTGAGCATGCTCTCCAGATGTAGCTAGTCTGGGGTGCCTAGAGGATAGTACCAGATGATCCTTCAAGTGCTAGACTGAATTCAGATTAGGCTGAAAGTGGACGGCTAGAAGGTATAGGTCCTTCGCTGCAGGGACTGGAAATGTAAAAGCTACACTGGCCCTGAAGTACACAACGTAGTGTATTTCAGTGTATAAAAGGCTAGTGTAATTAGCTTATAAAAGTCCCGTGGCTAGGACTAGAAGCTCAAGGAAAGAATTTAAATGATAAGGTTAAAAGGCAAAAAGATGCTGGGAGTTGATTTCATAAACATTCATTATAGGGGCTGGAGAGATGGCTCAGCGGTTAAGAGCACTGCCTGCTCTTCCAAAGGTCTTGAGTTCAATTCCCAGCAACCACATGGTGGCTTACAACCATCTGTAATGAGATCTGGTGCCCTCTTCTGGCCTTCAGGCACATACGCAGGCAGAATATGGTATACATAATAAATAAATAAATCTTTAAGAAAAAAAAATCACTATAAAGGTAGAGGTTGTTTACCCTACTGGGATTAAAGTGATTTGGAGCTTAGCAGATGCAATTTGAGTTACACAGAGCTTTTTCTTACCCGACTTTCCTTGTGGTTTGCTGGTCTCTTGTCTATTTCTTCTCCTGCTTCCACCCTGAACCAGATAACATTAATCACGTACCGCACAGCTTGGTTCTGCATAGTCGATGCCTAGTGTGGCCATGGCTCTGACGATAGCCAGGATGGACTGCAACACGTTCCCATAGATGACAGATTTGAACTCTAGGCATTCTTCTGGAGAGTATCCATCCTGGTGAATGATCCTTCAAGGAACAGACACTAAACTTTTGGCGGGACCTGAGGAACCAGACCTAAGGGATTGGGAGTCTAGGGGATATATGGGTCATAGGAAACCACCTGTTTCTACTGCTGTCTCCTAGTGCAGGTTGGGGGGGGGGCACTGAAAATCAGGTCTTTAGCCCAGGGTTCTTTGGCGCTAAGGACCAGTCTACTGGACCAACACTGGCTCCATGGCGCCCCACCTCAGTCCTCCCGGGGTTTTGTCGTACTCACTTCATCTGTTTGACGATGGTGCTCTTTCCTGACTCCCCAGCACCTAAAAGGCAAATGTCAATGCCATCAGTTTCCACCGGCTCTCCCCAGTGGTCCAGTGTGTGAACTTACTGAGAGACACCGTGAGTTTTAGGCTTGTCCACCTGGATTTACAGCAGTTCGTCCTCATTAACGCTATTTACATTGAGACCCGGATTCCTTTTTTATGGCTATCGTATACATTGTAAGCTGGTTAGCACCCTTCCTGGTCTCTACCCACTAGAGGCCACTAGCAGCCCACTCTTAGTTGTGGCAACCAAGGATCTCTAGACATACCTTGTGGCCCCTGGGGCTCAAAAGTTCCCCACTGGGCACCACTGATAGACTTGTAGCTATTCCTTTAAGATAGTCACGCTGCCTGTTTAGACACAAATAGTCTTGGTTGGGATTGGAAAGAGCTGGGGCTCTTTGTTGAGATGCTGTTTTTCCTACCGTGACGGCGTCTGTTATTAGCTGAAACATTCCAGTGTCCTCTTGTCCATCAGCCTCTCTACTGACCTGATCCCTCCGTCCCCTCCCACCTTGCCTGTGCTTGTTTCCTCTAAACTGCTTACCCTGAACCTAGACAATCTGCTTAGGCTTAAAAGATCTGTCCATCAGCCCCTGTTCCTGTGTAACTCCTGCGTTCCTCGGCAGAGCCTGGGTTCATCAGCCCCCGTTCCTCTGTAACTCCTGTGTTCCTCGGCAGAGCCTGGGTCCATTAGCCCCTGTTCCTGTGTAACTCTTGCGTTCCAGTGTAGAGGCTGGGACCATCAGTCTCTGTTCCTGCGTAACTCCTGCGTTCCTCGGCAGAGCCTGGGTCCATTAGCCCCTGTTCCTCTGTAACTCCTGTGTTCCTCCGCAGAGCCTGGGTCCATTTGCCCCTGTTCCTGTGTAACTCCCGCGTTCCTCGGAGCCTGGGTCCAGCTCACAAATGGCCCCTTTAGTGTACATTTGGTCTTTACTGCTTCAAGTCCCCAGGTTCTTCATGGAAACTGTCCCAGGCAGCCAGCTTTCTGCTACACACAGATCAACGGTCCCACTTCAGTAGTAACACTGGTGTTTTTATTTCTTGTGAGTTTTTTTTTTTCGTGAACCAGGTGTCAGTTGCTTGCTTTCTGTCTGAAGCCATGATCGGTTCCCATGACTGACCCACAGAGGTGCTTTATCATCTCTGCACCAACCAGTGATCTGCTTACGATGCCTCCAGTTAATGAACCGTCCAGATGTCAGGGGCTTTAGAGCAGTTACTTAACAGAAAGCCAGGAGGGCATTTCTGTTCAAGACTCCATCTTCTCTGTGGCCCTCCCCTCCTTACCAGATTCTCCAACATTTATTTTGAGAGCAAGGAGAAGAATCCAGACTCCTTGGCAAAAGCCAATAGGCTTCTCCTTGAGACTGTTGGGATGGCGTGGTGCTTTACGAACCCATTGCTGAGAGAGAGTCCTATCTTCTTACTGTATGCCACAGTTCTCTGACTGCAGGATTGGGGTGTGCCTGCATGGCCAGGGTTCTTGGTAGTTGTTGAACCCCAAACGAGGCGTTGTTGCAGTTGGGTAGCCCAGCTTTGTACTTGCACTATTCATAGTTCAAGGAAAAGCAAGACAATTCCAGTGACCGTGACATTCTGGGTCCCCATATTAACTTAGCTCTAAGCTCTGCTTGGTTTCTTAGCTTGAGGACTGGACCAGGATGAGAACATGCCCAGCCCTCCCCGTCCCTTGGGGTTGACCAGATACCATCAACCCACCAGAAAGGCAAAGAGAGTGTTGATCATCCCCTCCGACAGCCCATCTCATGTGACTCACCAAGCAGCAGCAGCTTGACCGTCTTGGCTTCCTTCTCAGCATCCTCCTGCAGCTTCCTTTCCAGCTCCTTGGACCTCTTGGCAAGTTCTTTGTCCTCGGCACTGATTCCACTCCCCATCTCTGCTGTCTCCTCAGAGAAGAACCGCTTTCTCTAGCTCCGAAAAATTTCCAGTACGGCTCCTGTCTGTGAGATCGAGATAAGAAAACCCGGGTTGGGATAGAGTGACAGTCTCCTGCTCCCATGAGCGTTAGTGACAGTGTGGACTGCTGGTTCTCGCACCCTGCCTACCCTGCTTTGAGACTCCCTCCTCCGGCTTTTGAACTGCTCTGAATCTAGGGATTGCCCCCTTTATGTCTAGCAGTATGCCAGGGTAAGCTAATTAAAAGCTTTGCCAGTCAGGCAAAGGGCAAAGGCTCTAATGTTCTTTAATGAGGGAAATGACCTGGGTTTTGACACAGCTGGGTAGAACACAGGTACTGGAGCCCTGGGAGGAAGCAGCCACCTCCTCCCTTCTAAAGAGCTCACACAAGCCTGCAAGCCACTGTTCCAGGGGTTCGTTTGCATTGGAGAGCTGAAGAGCTGAAGGTTAAGGGTGATCCCCTAGCTGAGTTTACAAGGTCTTGGTTTTAGGGAATCAAAGGGATAGTCCTGGCAAAGACATCTGCTCCAGGAGCTGTTATTGTTGCTTTGTGCCGGCTCATCTCTCAGAATGTCGTGTGTGTGTGTGTGTGTGTGTGTGTGTGTGTGTGTGTGTGTGTGTGAGAGAGAGAGAGAGAGAGAGAGAGAGAGAGAGAGAGAGAGAGTTTCTTTCTTTTATTATTTTTTTTTTTTCGAGACAGGGTTTCTTTGTATAACCTGGTTGTCCTGGAGCTGCCTCTGTGGACCAGGCTGATCTTGAATTCACAGAGATCTACCTGCCTCTCCCTCCTGAGTGCTGGGATTAAAATCACGTGCCACCACCGACTGAGTCTTTGTTTCTCTGATTTACTACTGTGCATTTCTTCCATTCACAGATTAAATCTGATTCGCCTTTGAATTTGTGGTTTACTAGTGAGTCCTCATCAAATATTTGCTTAATGAAGACAAAGGAAAAGGAGTATGTGGTAGAGAAATTGCCTTGCGGAATTCCCCTTACCCCACACCAGCTACACTTGGCTAAGTGAACTTCGCTGGTATTTTGTGTGGGTTGTATGCCAGTGTCACCTTACACAACAAACTTCTCCCCTGGGCAGTTGAACTCCGCCTCTGGAGAGGCTGGAATAGCTCTGCTCCCTCGCCCTCATCTTGGCTGTCCTGTGGGGGTGAGGGCGCAACCTCACAGTTGCCTCACAGACACTGAATGCACCTCGTTGGCCATAGTTCTCAAGGCCAGTAGTTTCATTTAAATGAGTCTTCCCAGTGCAACCCCCTCACCTGGACTGAGATACTTTAGAACAGGGATTCTCAACCTTCCTAATGCTGCGACCCTTTCTCATGTTGTGATGCCCCTCAACCATAAAATTATTTTTGGCGCTACTTCATAACTGTCATTTTGCTGCTGTTATGAATCGTCATGTAAATATCTGATCTGTAAGATACCCGATATGCGACTCCTGTGAATATGCCATTCAGCCCCTCAGAGGGGTCGCAGTCCACGGGCTGAGAATCACTGTCACGCAAGGAGCAGGCACATCAGAGGCCCTAGAAGTTTGTTAGAAAGACAGTCTCAGATATCAGCTCAGAAAGCCCAATAAATAATCAGGATTTAACAGTACCTCGGGTGACCCACAGGGTGTTAAGGTTGGGAAGACCTGCCTTAAGGAACTGTTTCTCCCCAGACTTGCCTATACCTTTTTTATGTGTTTCCTGAAATATGGTCGTGAGATCACCTGGCTTTTCAAAAATGTTAAAATAGTTAGAAATACTTGTAAAGTATTTTATTGTATTTTAGAATATATTGTATTTTAGAATACTCATTTTGGAAGCTAAAATGAAGTTACTATAAGTGGTTTTTATCATCTGGCAAGTTTGAAAACTCCGCCCTACAAAAGTAAATTTGGGATGTATACATTGGCATTTACTAGAAAGTTTTTTTTTTTTTTTAAACTGTGTCTCATGTAGCCTAGCTTCAAAGCACTGTGATTACAGTTCATGTGCCCCCACGCCGGGTTTATTTGGTGCTGGAGATCAAGCCCAGGCCCATGTGCATGCCAGTGTGTGTATGTTTGTGTTTAAAGACAGTAAATTGTGGGGCAGAGACTGATGAGAGAAATGACTGCTAAGGGCCTGCAGTGGCAATCCCGCTTTCCCAATCAAAAATTGGCAAGTGCCTAGTGACTTAAGGGCAAACAAGAGTCCCTTTGAAACTGTGGCTGTTTTGGAATCCTGACTAGGAGGTTCCAGTAATTATACCTCCGGCGCTGGCTGCCCTGCCCTGCCCTGCCCACAGTATTGGTAACTTAGACCGAGACCAGACCTGCACTGAAGGCCCAACTGTTCAAAAGGGGACAGCAGAAGATGGTGCTGGCGGTTTCTGTGCCTTTGCTGCAGGTGGGTTCTGCAGCTGCTTTCAGGGCACGCAGTTTGGTCAATAGTCCTCCTTTCCCTAACCCCCACCCATCCCCGTGAGTGAGAAAAAGAACCGAACTTTTGAGCAAATGGGGAAACTGGAGAGCGGGCCTGTGCTCGAAAGAAACCCCCAGCTCGGTTAACACATGTCGAAACACTTGCACTCTTTCTCATCCCAGCTGCTGTTGCTCCAGACTCTGGTTGGTGCTTGCCTCTGCTTGGTCACAGGCGGTAGGAGGAAGCTCCCCATTCTCACGCTTGAGCTGAGACACTCTCAGACCACCTGCCTTCCCAGAGTGCCTCTCTTAGAGTAGTGGTCCCCCCTGCATGAGGCCTGACAGAAGCCAGGGATTTGGGTCACAGCCCTAAGGTGGCCATATCATTTTGAGTGAAAGCAGGCACTGTTTCCCCCGGGGAATTTGGGCATGTTTCCTAAGTGAAGGAGATCTCAGGATCAGCATCACATTTAGTGAGAAGCTGTGCCCCAGATGGAGTGTGGGACACCGACACAGGAAGAATTGCCTTTGTGAACTTGCAGTCCGTGTAAGGAGGCTGGGGAAAGCAGAGTAACAATTAAAGGGCTGATGCTAATATTGGAGATTCAGAAAACCTTGCTTCCACCCCCTGGTAGGAGAGGCAATTATACATCTATTGTGAGTTTTACAAAAAGAGTGCACGTCCGCGTGCGTGCCTGTGTGTGTGTAAGCCAACAGCTCTTGCCCTTAACAAAGCATGCAGCAAGTCAGAGTAGAAATATCCTGAGTTCTCGGCTAGCCTGAGCTACACAAGGACCACATTTTAAATAACGATAATATTGAAAGCAAGGGGTGATTGTGAAATGGACCGACTTTCCACAGGGAGCCAGGCCAGCAGAAATGGAAGATAAGAGTCTGGGGAGGGGAAAGGATGAAAGAGAAAAGGTATAAACATGAGTTTAGACTGCAAAGCTCGATGGGACTGGACAGGAAAGGGTGGGAGAGCTGGGAGGTGAGGAAAGGGAAACAGAGCAGCTAGTGAAGGGCCTGGAGTGTCAGGTAGGGCCGACCTGCAGACAAGCACAGAGGCAAGTGCTTTGTGCTATTGTAGTTCTGGGTGACTGAGGTGAGGGGATAAGAGTTGATGCTGCATCAAGCTTGATTCTAGAAAGGTCTGGGAATAGGATGGGGCATAGGAAATTGCCCTGGGCAAGTATTGGGAAGCTTCGGCTGTGTTCTCCCAAGTCTAGTATCTGCTAGAAGAGATCAGTTCTAGCCGGGCTGGCCTCACTAGAGAGGGAACTGGAGGTCAGAAAAGCAGGGAAGCTGTTCAGAAACGGGAGGGGTTCAGGAAGGTCTAGTTGAGAAGCCAAGGTGGAAATCGGTTAGGAGGAAGAGGAAGCGGTGTTTAGTGGTAGGTAAGTCCCAGAGACTGGAGCAGCATTAAGGCTTCAATACCACAAAGTCCAAGGCCACAAGGGGACCCATTCCTTCATTCCCCAAGCCTTGCTCCGAATGGACAATAAAACCCCACTGAAATTCTGCCCGTGTGAGTGGGTGGGACACTGACGGAAGCAGGGCGGACTTCCTAACAACCACTTCAGACCACATGACCTCAAGTATGGGGGTGGGGGAAGGCTATCTAGTGAAGGGTGTGCTGTTGCTGGTGGGACTTGAAGATGAAGGCGCTCATGAACTGGTTTGCCTGGGTTGGGTGGGGAACAGGATTGCCACCCATTGGCTGGGTAGGTAGATCTGGATTAGGGGATCTTCATAGGCCTGGCCCAGTATAAGGCTCTGACCCTTAAAATTATGTCAAAATCTGCATTTTACCAGACTATAAATGACCTTCTATATGGTCACATGGTACTTAATTGATAATTTTGGGATTTATTTCATTCATTTTTGGAAACCAACCTTCTCACAATGTCTAAGGGCTATATTCAGAATAGCCCACTTTCTAAGTCTGGGTGAGACTTGGGTGATTAGTTCTGCAGGATTTTTGTTGATTTCCATCCTCTTGATTATGCTGTAACTCTGCGTGCTTCTTTTCTGTGTGTATCATATAAATCACACGATTAGGACCTTTCTATTTGTGTAGCTCTTTGCATCCATCTTTCCACAACTTGATGTTGTAAGCATTTTCACGTGACTAAATGGTCACGTGTTCTCCAAGAACAGTATTAGTGGCTGTATTTCACTGAGTTCATGTACACATTCCCGTTTAGCCAGGAGGTGGTGGGGAGGCAGAGGCAGGTGGATCTCTGAGCTTGAGGCCAGCACACAGAGTTCCAAAACGGCCAGGGCCACAGAGAAATCCTGCCTTCCAGAACCAAACAAACACCATTCCCCTTGGCCCTTTATATTTCTAAATTTTCTGTGGTAAACATTGCAATATTGAACAACTTTGTAGATATTTTTCAGATAACCCTTTATTATTATTATTATTATTATTATTATTATTATTATTATTATTTGTTTTGTTTGAGACAGGGTTTTTCTGTGTAACCCCAGTTGTGCTGGAACTCACTCTGTAGACCAGGCTGACCTTGAACTCAGATTCTCCTGCCCGTAACTCCTGAGTGCTGGGATTAAAGGTGTACCACAA